TTATAGAAGTTTTCGTCTTTCTTCAATAATTTTCATTGGTCAAATTGAACTAGCATAATCTTCACATATTTCTATCTAAAAAAAGTGCTTACTAATGGTCAGTAAAGTCAATTTTACAGTTGCGTAAATGTAGTTGTGATTGTAATTGTAAGAATTAACCAATCACATCGAATATGAGGAGAATATTCTACTGTGATTGGTCAATTCTTACATCTACAACCATTATTTATGACTACGTTTATGCAATTATATAATAGAATGTGTTTAACACACAAAGACGCGATCTTCACTTGAAGACGCTATCCAAGTTTAGCTTATATAGTAGAGAATATAATAATTATAATAACAATTTTTATAATGAAATTATTATAATTATTAATAACGAAACAATAATTATAATGAAACATAAAAACATCTGTAACTTAGAAATAAAGTAAAATAGAATAAATGTTTAACTTAAATGTTAAACTTTTTGTAGTATTTTTATGTCCTAAATTCATTTATAAAATTATGTTCATATTATAAAACTTATAATATAACATGTTCGAATTTGAAAAATATTAATAATCTAAAAAATTAATGGAATTTGTCGACTATCAGAAAATTCTATTATTTAAAACGTATTATTTTATTTATGCATGAAGAAAAATATTTATTCACACTTGTGACCTGTTATTATTGCTGTTACTTACGAAAGTAACGATTTCGACATTCACCGACGATGAAATGCTACATATAGGTAGCAACAGATATATCCGTGCAAAGATAAGATAAAATTGTTCAATAAAATACTAAATAGGCGATGATGTACTTTTATGTCTAAGCATGCACAGGTATTTTCAAAAGAATGCTATATGCAAATAATAAATAATTCTATATAATTCTTCTTAAGTTATAAAAATATATACATTTATATCGTATGTCTTTTTTAATGAATATAATAAATTAAAATAACCTAAGAAATGGACATAGAATATCATTTTATGAACATAGAATATCAGAATACACACTTTTTACTTCACTACTGTTAATATAGAAAATATAACCATAGAAAGATTTATACTTTATTACTTATTTAAGAGATTTTGTAATGGCATTCTTGCTGCCTCGTTTTTTACATGTGCTTTTGACTTTTGTATCCATTATCTTTTCTTACAGTTTTCACAGAATTATTATTGCCATTATGTCATTATTATTTTACTAATTGCAATTGGATACTTTTAACATTACGTCCATAAGAAAAATTGTTAACCCTTTAGGATAGTAATAAAAAAATGAATATGTGCATATTCTTTATTATTGATATAACATGCAAATAATTTCCTTTTTAATGTTAGATTAATAAGAAATTATCCGATTTATCCGCGTGCGAGAATATAAGTAAAACGGCCCCGTTATATTTGCAAGTTGCCGTTGTTTTGCATAATGAATATGTGCAAGTCGCTGCTGATGCATCGATCGAATGAGCATTTGGAATAAATTAAAATATCTTTCACTCACTCGCATCCGTAAAATTTCTTGATTTGCGCAAATCGCGCTTTCTCAAAAGTTCTGATTAAATATATCGATTAACATTAATATCGTTTCTGTCTCTCAATAGAAAAGCCATCATACGTAAAAAAAATTTTAGTCGTAACCGTACAACCGTAAGCAAAAATCGACCAATTACAGTCAAAGCTTGGGTCTTACGTTTTGGAATGCTCTATCATAATTGACTGATATCTTACGATTATGATTAAAGGCACACAGAAAAACTTAAATAGTAAGCAAGAAGGAAATCAATATTACCCTATAAGCACAGAATATTTCTAGAATATATTTATCCTTTTTAATATTCGTATAATATTTTAGAAATATTAAGTCTTATACGGTACTTGCATTATTACTCTACTGTGATTGTAATTCACTTATTGCTTCAGTCTTACTGCTTAAGCTTTTGTGTGCTATGGCCATAAAAATTGTTTGCGTGTGATAACCTTAAAGATATTCAGGTCATAGCACGTATGTATCCAAAATTGAGATACCCCGTATCTACTATATCTTTTAGGCCAATATTCATAATCAATCCTTACAAACAGTGTAAGAAACGTGAATAGATCTTGTATTAATATCTTAAGATATTATTTAAGATAAGTTTTAAAATAAGAATGGCTTATAAGTAATGAATATAGGCCTTAGGTCAATCACACACGTTCAAGCAAATTTATCAAATATGCTTGCGCAAGCTGTAAATTTGTTTGAACGTGTATGTCAGAAAACTGCAATCATTTTGGCTTGCACAAATAACTTTTTTGATACACACGTTCAAATAAATTTGTATAAGCAGCTTGCGCAAGCATATTTAATAAATTTGCTTAAACATGTGTAGTCGTATAAATTGCCTTAGACATCGTATAAATTTTTTTCGAAAATTGGTCGATAGAAAACTGATGTTATATTCGTTTACTTAAGTCAATAATACAAGAAGTTGTGTAATATTGAGAAAAAGTTACACGTGATTATAATATTCTTCACACTCGTTACGTGTCTCGGATCGATCGAAATGTCAAATGCACTATGACGTTTCGAATTTCCACCACAATCCTGCAATCCCACTAATTAGCGTACGAACTGTCTCATAAGTCGTTGTGAAACGGCACTGCTTAAATCTTGTTGAAATTTGTGCCCAAACGTGATGAATGGGCATTAATTTTTTACAGATATTCTAACAAATAATATTATATATCTTAATCATTGTGCGTTATATGTATCTCATAATATGAATGTTTAACACAAAATTTATTGTGTGCCGTGTCGTAAATAATTCCCTAGAATACATATTGTACAAATCCTAATAATATTTACGATTTTCAAAACATAAAGACGTTACCGGTATTTTAGCTAGCCTATTGTTTCCGAAACGTTTGTTTGTTTTCTGACATTCAAAGCCGATTCGAGACGCTTGTTTGCCTTCTGACATTCAAAACTTTCTTGAAAGTTGCAAGGTGTGAAAAAAACTTTGTAATCACACAACTGTAGAAGAACCAGGACGAATCTATATTATACCGGTAAATCGAAAATTCATCGAGCGCAAAATAAACGACAGGATAAGAATTATCGTGTCTTGATTTCTGAATTTTCGTAAGATCTCCAAAGACGAAAACCGTCATGCGTAGCGACATTGGATTCTTTCGAAAGAAACGGAAAAAATTAAAAAAAAAATCAAGCAAAAGAAAAAGAGAGAGAAAAGTATATAGAGATTACACGAGCAATCGTGTCGAGAGAGAAAGAGAGAGAGAGAGAGAGAATTTAGTATTATTTTTAGTACATCGAGCGCGAATCGGCAGCGGCATTCCGGGATTTCGGCAAGCGAGGTAGTATCACGCGCGATGTGGTCCGGGGTGCGCACCGTGTGTCTCACCCTCACCCCCGGCCCCTCCTGCCCTCCCACCACGCAACGAAAACTTAAAAATGCCGCCGCAGCGCAACCCGAATCGATATTCGCCGGTGCAGTCACGTGGCACGGTTTCGTGCCGCGCGGGCCAATGAGCGGCCGCGACGAGCGGATCTCGCTCCGCCTGTGTTCTACGGGACGACGACACGACATCTGCGTGCGGGTAGGCGGAACAACAGTCCGCGGCTGGTAGCGCACCGGTTCACAGTAGGCGATGTTCCGCTCTGCGGGCGGTCCACGTTAAGTGACCCCGACACGATATACATCGACGACGGGCGTTTAACCAGCATCAGCATCAGCAGCAGCAGCAGCAGCAGCGAAGGCGACGACGACGACGACGAAGATAACGACGTCGAAAAGACGGGAAAGACGAGCGAGAACGACATCACGACATTGACACGTGAACAAGGCACGGCGCGCTGTCGCTTCAACGCTGATCGCTCCTTTCGACACGCGTATATCACGCACGCATCACGTATGTCTGTGTATGGTGCCCTATCGTCCACCGGAAGAAGCGCGCGGGGCCGCGACTCGTAAGCGACCCCGTATTTACTCGTACATATTCGCCGTGGTAGTTGTCTCGCGTGCAAAAAAAAGAGTCAACCAGTCGTCGTGGCTACGGGACAGAGTGAGAGAGTAGAGGAAGTGACTGCGGTGTACGCGACGGAGATCGAGAGCGCGCCGAGTAGTAGTGCGCGAAGGGGACGAGGTGGGGCAAGGTTGGTGTAAGAAGGAGAAGAGGAGCGAAGGAGCGAGATAGATACAGAGAGCGAGAGGAGGGACTCGCCGTGCGTGCGAATAGGACCGAGTGAGAGAGAGAGTAAGGCGAGACGCAGACGGTAAGAAGGAAGGGAACCAAGGAGTCCAGAGACCAGACGGTACGCGATATGGTGTTTCTATAAGCGAAGGAATGGTGCTCTTTCGTGAAAAGTAACTCTCGCGAACGGTACGGTACCGTATGAATATAGCCGCAAAGTTGCGAATATAGCCGCGTGTCATATCTTCGCTTTCATCGATATATCGCCGATCGTCGGCCGTTTCGCGGTCGATCGCGAGATAAATCCCGCTGTGTCCGTCCCACTCCCGGCACGACCATCACATCGTCATCGTGCTCGTGGATTGCGCTTTGATCCGTGCCGTCGCGTCGACGCGGTGATATCGTGGCGGTCGGTGCATAGCGCGGCGGCGATCGATAAACGCGATCGATATCGGGATTGTCGCTCGCGCGTTCGTGAGTGGTACATACATCACATCGGATACGTGTCGCGATACGCGCGCGCTCGCGCGCTGGAAAAACTCTTATTATGCGACTACCGAAGTCGCGCCATAATCGGGAACGGCGGGGATCGGATTAACCGAGAAGATAGAACGCGTGACGCGGAGAAGAAGCGGCGGAGAAGGAAGAAGAAGAGGAGGTGGAGGAGAAAGAAGAAGAAAGATTTCAAGATAGAGGGAGATAATCACCGCGACGGACGAGGACACGACGACGAGCGCTCGACGGTCGCTCGCTCGTCGTCGGTTGCCGCGGCGGAGGCGTTGCGCGTGGGGCTTCGCCGCGCGGGACGACGAGGACGATAGCGACGACGATATGGAGGAGAGCCACCTGCTGATGACTGAACTTCCTTCGCCGTTAACGCCGAGCGCTGGTCGCGGCGGTACAACTTTGCTTCATCGTC